TTATGTTAATATTATCATTTCCATTTAGTTTAAAGTCAATTTTATTTTTGTTGAGACTTCCTCTTAACTTGTGGATTTTCTAAAAGCATGTTATTTCATTTGCAAGTATTTGGAGATTTTCATGTTAGTATTTCATTATTGATTTCTAATTTGTCTCCATTTTGGAAAAAGCACATACTTTGTCTTCAGTTGTTTTAAAGTTTTTGAGGTTTGTTTTATAGCCAAGAATGTGTTTTGTCTTGATGTATGTTCCATGGATACTTAAAAAGAATGTGTATTCTGCTGTTGTTTTCCAGAAATGTCAATTATATTCTGTTCATCAGTAGTGTTATTGAGTATCCTTGCTGACTTTCTGTTTGATTTTTTTTTGGCCATGGCTGGGTTTGTACCCACCACCTCCGGTATATGGGGCCAGCGCCCTACTCCTTGAGCAACAGGCACCACCCCCTTGCTGACTTTATGCCTGTTTCTGCCTTCAATTGTTGCGAGAGAAGTATGGCAGTCTTCAACTATAATTGTAGATTTAAGTATTTCTTTTTTTCAGTTCTCTTGGTTTGTGTTTCACATATTTTGCATTCTTTTGTTTGGTGCATATACATTTAGGATTGCTATCTCTTTCTGGTGGATTGATGCTTACATTGTGTAATGTCCTACTCTGTCTCTAGTAATATTATTTTCTCTGATGTTTACTTTTCTGATATAGTCAATTCTGATTTCTTTTATTAATATTTGTATGATCTATTTTTTGATCTTTTTACTTTTTACTTATATGCATCATTGTATTTGAGCAAGTTTCTTGAAAACTCCTCTCTGTCAATCTGTCCTTTACTTAGTATATTTAGAACATTTACATTTGAGGTAATTATTGATATGTTAGGGCTTCTCTACCATTTTCTCTGTTTCTTTCTGCCTTTTTCTCTGTTTTAGCTAGTCTTTTTTTTTCTTTTCTCTTGTATATCTTTGGGTTACCTAAACATTTTTAGAATTGTATTTTTACTTATTATAGTGTTTTCTAGTGTATCTCTTCATATGGCTTTTTCAGTGGTTGTCCTAGGTAGGTATACATAAATTATCAAAGTCTACTGGTATCAACATTTTACTGGTTTGAGTGATAAGTGGAAACCTTATTTCCATTTCTGTTCCTTTATCCTTCCTCTGTATAATAAAGTATTTTATCTTCATACATTGATAATTACAATAGACTGTACTTTAATTTTTGATTCAATCATTAAACATAATTTATAAAACTCAAATGAAAGAAAGCCTATTGTAATTGCCCATGGTTTTGCCTACTGTGTTCTTTTGTCCTGATGTTCTAATGTCCCTTCTTTTGTAATTTTATTTTGCTTACAGAACTTCTTTTAGTCGTCCTTTAAGAGTAGCTCTGCTAGCTTCTTTGTATGACAATGCCTTTATTTCTTCTCTATTCCTGAAGAATAATTTTGCCAGATATGAAATTGAGGGTTGATAGTTCTTTTCTCTTAGCACTTAAAAAGTTTTGTGCAACTTCCATGGTTTTTGATGAGAAAATTAAATTACTGTCATTAGATTTTTCTTTTTTTTTCTGGCTGTTATCAAGATTTTTTCTTTGTTTTTAGTTTTCAGAGGTTTGATCATGATGTGCATTGGTGTGGATTTTTTTTGGGGGGGTTATTCTCTTTGCATTTCACTCATCTTTAATCTGTTACTCCATTTCCCCCCCCCCCATCACATTTGGAGAATTTTAAGCCCTTATTTCTTTGAATACTTTTTTCAGTCCTACCCTCTTTCTCTTTTCCTTCTGGCACTCCAATGACTTGAATATTAGATCTTTTTTAAAATCTCACATTTCTGTGAGGGTTTGTTAATATTTTTCAACCTATTATTTTTCTGTTGTTTAGGTAATTCTATTGCTATGTCTTCAGGTTTACTCATTCTTTCTTCTTTCTTATTCATTTTTCTGTTGCATCCATCCATTATGTTTTTTATTTTTTTTCTTTTGGTTACTCTTTTCTTTTTAGAGGTTCAGGACACCTATATTTTCTTCATTAATTCTCTGGTATAGATGCTTGTTAATGGATAGCAGGAATGAAAGTATTGACTCCACATTGTGCCTTATGTGATACTACCCCAACAGGGGTTTATTACAGTCTGACAAGGCTAGAAGTCCAATTTCTCATCTCAGCTTTTGCTGGTAGAAATGGAAATGGTGCTCCATTATTTTCCCCCCTGTGGTATTTGGCTGGACTAGAGAGCCTTTCTTTGGGTCCCGAAGTCCCTAGCCAATCTGCCTTCTTCTTTCCATGTTTTGAGTATTCTTATATAGTATACTATTTTGTATACAATATCCATGGTTTTTGGTTGTACTTAGGGAAAAATAGGGGAAAGTGCATTTTCTCTTCTTTCCAGAGACAGAAACCCTTACCTTCATTCTTGAAGAATGTTTTTGATGGTTATAGAATTATTTGTTGAAATTTGTTTTATTTCTGATCTTTAAACATGTCAATACACTGTTTTTTGACCTCCAATTTTTATCAGAGAAATCAGCCATAATCATAACATTTTTCCACTGTATGATTTGTGAGGCATATAATATATCATTTTCCTGTGGAAGCTTTATGATTTTTCTCTTTCTCTTTTTTATTCTTGGTTTTCAGCCATTGTGCTATTCTTTATAGTATGATATGCTCTGGTTTGGTTTTCTGTATACATATTAAATTGTATGGGATTTGCTGAGTTTCTTGGATCTATAGTTTTGTTTTTAACCAAATCTTGGCATTATTTATTCTCTCTCCGTTTCTGCTGAGACTCCAATTATAATTATGCTAAACATCTTGATATTATACTACAGGTCATGGAAACTCTGTTCATTTGTGTGAAATTTTTTTTCTCTTGGTTCTTCAGATTGGGTAATTTCTTTTGACAGATTTTTCAAGGTTTCTGAAGTTTCATTCTAGTACTCCTGCTCTGCTTTAAATTCATACAGATATTATACTTTTTGTTCTAAAATTTCCTTTTGTTTTTCTCAGTTTCTCTAAGATCCCCATCTGTTCACTTATTATGACCATATTTTTATTTCCTTTCAATACATGTATAATTTTTTTTGAAATAGAGTCTCACTTTGTCACCCTCTGTAGAGAGCTGTGGCATCATAGCTCAGAGCACCCTCAAATTTTTGGGCTCAAGAGATTTTCTTGCCTCAGTCTCCCTAGTGGCTGAGACTACAGATGCCTGCCACAACACCTGGCTATTTTTTTTTTTTGTTATTGTTATTGTTGTTGTTTAGCAGGCTCAGGCCAGGTTTGAACCCACCAGCCCTGGTGCATGTGGCCAGCACCCTAACCACTGACCTATGGGTGCCCAGACTATATATATAATTTTTATAATGTAAATATTTATAATACATATTGACATATATATAAAATAATTATTATATAAATATTTTGAGTCCTCTTTTTTTGCTAATTGCATCTGGTCCATCTCAGGGTACATTTTATTAACTCCTTTTTCTTTTAATTATGGGTCACATTTTTCTATTTCTTTGATGTCTTAATTTTTTAATTTATGGTGGACAATGTGGATGGTTATAGACTTGACTTGTACTATTTTTTTCCTAGGAGGAATTATATTTTTTATGCTTTAAGAAGTTATATATATATTATATATAACTAATTTATATATAAATATAAAAGTTATATATGTATATATATAAATGTATATTATATG